TCGCGATAAAATAAATTTTAGATTTGTTTGTTCAGCGCTGCTCATCGGTGTACCATCGGAGAACATCACGTCTGGTACTACACCTTCCGGAACAGCACCTCCAATCCTTCTGTCTCCTTCCAACGACAAACGGCCCTTGCCGGCGGTGGTATTCGCAGGTTTGTTAGCCGACAACAAACATTCCTTTTCAGTTTTAAATCAACTTACAAACTCTCAGGAGCCTCACTTATGTCTTTGGGGGAGCTGCTTGTCTACGTTGAAAATGGCATTCCAGTAGTCGTATTGCAGGTAGGCATAGTCTTGTAGCCTTCAAATTTTACTCCAGGGTGCTGCCTTTCTCGTTGCAGGACAGCTGTGAGCTCTGCGTGGTCCTGCACAGTGCTTATCTGCTTTATCGGTCATCCCAATTTGAACATTCAAAGTTCGTTGTTTGGCTTGAAGAGCAGTTAGACGCGGTCTCCATTGGAGATGTGGCCATTGCTACTAATACGGTAGTACGGATATTCGCCATGGCGTTCGGAGACACTCAGCTCATTGAGTTCTTGGACAGTGATGAGGTGGGTTTCAGGTAAACGTGAGCTACGCCATGTGCTTAGCATTACTCTTTGGACTGTTGAGGCGATTGAATGAGAACTTCAAAAATGTAAGAGCTCCCCTGATGATGATGATGATGATGAGGTGAAAGTACCGGTATCAATCGCCTTAGGTAGTATTGTTGTAACTGATTGGGTCTCGCTGGAATGAGGTATTTGATCTGAGCTAGTATTCAACAAAAATCGGTTTTTTATTTCTTCTATTTCTCATTCGTTTTTTTTTTTGTTTGATCAAGTCTCCTAGTTTATATATTCTAATAAATGTAAATATAAAGTGAAAAGACTAAACATAAGCCCCACTCAATATTTTCTGGCTTTAAAATTACCGAATTCAGCTGCCAACCCTACCGTCGCGAATCATCGAGTCGTGTCTGCAATGTCACAGTGGGACGACAGAAGCCCGTCAGTTACTGCAGCTGGCCGCCCACATCAATGAGCCTTCAATACTGAATGAAATAGATCTAGAAGAACTGCTTGATGACGAGGTAGGAGAGACCTCTGGTGGTGGATCGGTTGATGCCTGCCTTATTGTACTTTCTTTTCAAGGTGATGTCAACGATCCTCTGCGAAACAGTGGCTGTTAGTGATCGCGTCACCTTCCTGGCAGCCATTCTAGAGCGAAAGCCGCAGATCTCAATTACTTCGGAGATGTTGCTCAAAATGGCTCGAAGCTCGTCGGATCAGGTAGCTTACCGTAGAGAATTTTAATTCTGATTTTTGAAATTGCTATCTGTTGGTACATCTGTCAGGTGATTAGTGATCTTTCTTAAAGGCACAGTTCACGATAAAAATGGTTGCTGAAATTTCCTTAAAGAATGAATTCGAGGCTCCCCCTTATCCCCCACATGCCGTAATAACGTCGTAAAAGGACTTGGATAGGGCACAATAAGGGGCCAGAGGTTGTATCGTGTGAATGCCACACCCATAGTGGACGAGTTTCGACGACTTTGTGGAGGCTGCACTATCTGAAGGGACTCCCATGTAGGAAGTTCTAACAACATTTCATAACCCATGGCGAAGTAAAAGGCAGTTTTGGACAATTTCGGCTTGATGCAGTCATCTCTTTGCGCAATGGGAGCAAGCTAGATCTCGTCCAAATACCCCTATATGCCATTCCCGTCGCGGTGATTTCGTACAACCTCCTTTTTCACAACTTTTTAAAATTCTTGAAGTAGGCGGAGTTTCTCCGATCCGGTAAAATCAGTACTGGCTAGTTGGCCTGACAATGTTCTTGTTCTTTCGGTAGACCCACCAAAGAGATGGGGGCATAGATCACTTCTCGTTTAGATTCCCGGAACATGCGTATGATAGTGTGGCTCCTGTCACACTTCATCACGATCTTCTTGGGAAAGAAGTTCATGTAAACCACCAAGTACCACGTCGTTGGGAACACCCTACCCACACTCAAGTAGATTTAACCTGAAGAGCATCAGATTAGAGCGTAGGCCGCAGTTGTCGCATAACTCATTACGTTTTCGGTTCTTATAATGATTACTGTTTTTTAGCACTTCTTCACGACGGTGATTCTATGTCAGTGCATGGGCTACTCATCATTTCCAGAGGAATTGGATGAAAAATTCGTGCACGATCTCAATCGATTGTTGGTACGTCTCTGCATTTCCACTCTCGGCGCTGATTTACTACTGCTTTTCATAATGCTGCGAGTATCTACGGCTTTTCATCCGCACGCAACAATTTGTTTGGCAAAATCGAAGATCTATTAAAACAGAAAGCTAGTAAATCCATCAACAGTTGCTCAAATTTAGAAACGACTTTCATTTGGCGTTGAAGATCTGATCCCGCCATCAACACTTAATGGCGATTTTATGCAGCACAGAGACCCAGCGGATTCGATACGAATCTTGGCTGTAAGGAACTTCTCTTCTACAGATTCTTACTGCTTAATTTTCATTGTAGGGAGGGAACTAGTGAGAAAAAGATGATATTTGTTGATTTCAGATTTGGGCTTTGTTGCTGCATTGTCCTTCCGTTGTTCGTTGTCTTTGTGCTTTCTCTGACCAACCTGTTGCATTCTCTTTGGTGCTGTCAAGACTGGCAAAGTCGTTGGCTCGAGAAGTTCGTAAACGATTGATCGATCAAGTATTGATTTTTCTTGCTCTGGCAAAGTCGTTGGCTCGAGAAGTTCGTAAACGATTGATCGATCAAGTATTGATTTTTCTTGCTGCCTGTAGATAATGAATCGATTTCAGTCTCATGATTGGTTTTTCTACGAGGAGTCGCTACTGAGACTTGCCGATTCGCTGTCGAATTCGGCTGTAGCATTGGTTTCGAAGGTACATAAAGTTTCACCGAACAAGGCCTACCGTCTGCTGTGCCAACCACTGGAAGGATTTCACGGAGCCACATTGTCCCAGCTGGCGTTCCAGGTACATGAAGTATTCCAACTACGGTTTCTAATTAATACTGCAATTTTTTTATTTTTATGGCTTCTATTTTATTATTTTATTTTATTTTGTTAGAATAATTTTTATTATTTTTACTTTTTCTGGTCAGGACATAATATTGCAATCCTAGGTCAGCTGTTTTCAGTTCAACAATCGAGCTCTGATCGCTCATGAATCATGCCAGCGCTGGCTTCATCGTCTCCTTTACGGCCAACTGCAGACATGCTCGTCAACAATTCTACCACGATGGTTAAAAACACTTCTTGCAGGTAATAGTACTCCTTCAGGTGGTTGATGATTATCGCTGTGGGGCTCTACCATTAAAATCATAATAGTAAGCAGTATAGGGAGGAAAGCATGACTCTGTATAGTAACCCCAACCCTTGGTGAAAAATTCGCGAAAATACGTGGGGAACTCGAAAATTTCAACCTTAACTGGAACATTACGTTTTCAGTACAAGGCAGGTTTTGAAAGTTGTGCTATGGGTATACTATCCACTCATTTATATAGCGAATTGTGCTGAGTTTGGACTAGAAAGCACGTCGTTTACCTGAGAATTAACAAGTTTTGTATGGGTTTCTCCCCCTGGAACTGTGAAAAGTGAAAGTGAGGCCTAGTTTAGGCCTAACTATTTTTATGAGGCCTAAGATCAATTCTTCAAACTCGAAATCAAGTCCTGAATATGGTTTACCCGTAGAGATTTCCACCATGCGAAGGCGTTTGTCCAAAAGAGTCATTCAGCTGTGTTTGTCGTTCCGATTCGCTGGTGGATGTGCGTTCGAACTAATGGCGTCTCAGCACAGTTCTCAGGTGCTGATAGGAAGTCACCAACAGCTTCGCTCCTGGACGTGGACCGACAGCCGAAGCGAGTCAGGGCTATATCTACCTACAGGTGATTTCTGTTCAGGTTTTCACTCAAAGTACGTGAGTAGGAGACTCGAATACCACCCCTTGGGATCGAATCCATCTCCGCCGAATTCGGGTAACTCTGGGTAATCACTCAATTAAGACCAAGCTTATTATTTGGGCTGGAAAGGTCTAATTGAGCATGGATCCCAGAGAAAGCATAAAGGGGGCACAAAATGGTCTTAGTGTGCCTCAGGTTATGGAATTAAGTGCATGGCACATCCAAACCCATCCAATGAAGTCGAATTTCAGTGTGATTTCTGCTCGTAGTGATATACTGAGCGGAGGGCATTCGATGCCACAACTTGCCTTCACTGAGTCGGTCACACCACAGTCAATGGTTTTCCCACTGAACATCGAGGATGTCGAGGGTGAAGATATGGTTTTCACCAAGAAGGTACTTCAGCTTCTATTCGTTCCTCCTAACTGCTTACTTCGAAATGAATTTTCCGATTTCCGATTCATTTTGCAGCCACGCCCGATCAGCCGTCGTGCGCCACCTTCACTATGCGTATTCTACTCGACTCCCATAGTCAAATACTGGTTATCACTGCTGTTCCGACTGCTTCATATTGCCCTTCTTGCCTATTCAATTTTACTGCCTGGTTGTGGTAATCTGACTTTGGATGCGGTTGTATGGATGTGGACATTCATAGCGTGGATCGAAGCAGTCTGGGTACTCAACATGCGTAATCACACAACTCCTCTCTCGTTGATGCCATGGCGGGTGAGCATCTTTATCGAAGCCATTCACTGTAGACCCAAAGCACTTTATGTGTGCTGAATTGAGCCATTTGTTGGGTTGTACTAGCCACGATAAACATTTTGTCATGGACTAGAATAGCCGCGAGCGGTCGCGGTGCGGGCCTTCCCTGACCGATCGATATCTTGCTGTTTTCAGGTTTTCGATTGCGTATTGACGTTGTCTTTCCTAGTCTCGATGCTTCTGTTCAAGTTTGTTGGAGATAGTGCTGTATCAGATTTCTTTGTGAGTTACAAGCGACTTGGTTTTGCGAAGGTTATTACCAACTTTCTTTGATAAATGTATAAGTGAGCATTAACACAGCATACTTACAAATTTTGTATTGTGTGAAAGTAAATATAGTATAAGTTTATGATAATAGCGTTTTCTAGAGTGTTCTCATCTATCGGGGATCTGGCTCCCTCATACGGTTTTTAGAACTTTGAAAGCATCCCTCTTCGGTGTTTGCATAGCCTATAGAGAATACTGGTCTCTGCTAGTCCCTACTCAATGCCATTTTATTTTTCTATGATTAGTTTAGTTCATTAACCAATAATGCTGCCATGTATGTACCGCTGTGCACCTGCATCACCGCAACTTTGAAGGTGCAGATCTGAGTCGCTCCACTCATCATGAAAACTTCGCCCTGAAAAAGAGGGAGATAGAAAAATTGAACTCATACTTATCTTTGGTATTCAATTAGGCTATTAAGATTTCTTGCCAGCAACGTTTTTCCAGTGTAGTCGGTTTACTGAAGTGATTTTTCAGTGGTTTCTTTTTCTGATTTTTTTTCTCAAAAAAAAATTTCTGAATTCCAACCACTTGTTTCGCTCTTAAGTGCTGGAATCCTTTAAGCACTTCCAATATTTTTTACCCAGTATACTTTTACCTTTTTCGAACCTGTTTTTATTTCTCCTTCGTTTCAGTTACTTTCTACTGTGTATCCTGTACGGGTTCTGTCGTCTTTATTTCTACTCTACTGGTGTTATGCAACTATTTTCTTCTATATTCCTCTCTCAGAACTTTTCGGTCCTATCATCGTCCGAGTGAAGCTGATGATTCTTAGAGACTTCACCAATTTCCTTATTCTAGTCGCTTTGGTGATGTCCAGGTTGGTTTTTCAGATGGATTAGAAGCCTATGAACAACAATCAAATAGAAAAAGAAAAAAAATTGAAGCGACATCGTTCATTATATTATTCCCCTAGAGCTCCGAGGTGTTCATCTTAGGTTTTCAAACTTTTGGATTAGTTTTCTTTTATTCACTCATCAAATTTCACTTTTCCTATCTGGGAGCAGATTGTTCTGTGCTGAATTGAGGTCTGACCTGAGCTGAACACTAGATATTATAGCTCAAGATGGCCTAGGCAACGTGGCCTTACCATCGTGTCAGCAATCCTCAGCGGATGCCTTAAGTATGGCGCATACCAAGTGCCCTCACACCTCTTAGTTATATTACTTCCCATAGCTTCGCCGGGGAAAATGAAGGTCTACTCTTTTATCGTCGTGTACTATGAATAAACTTCTCTCCCCCACTTTCACTGTGGTCTTCGATTCCCCCTACTTTTTGGGTTTTTTAGTTTATTAATTTTTATATTACCCCATGTTCTTTATTTGCTGCTCAATCTCCATGTCTTTACAGCAGTGCAGCAGCGATCCATGCTGTTCTCTATCCGGATCGTGACATCTCGCTTTCAGTGGCACGGTCGTCCCTTTCATGGGTTTGGTTATCGCTGTTCACGACCGATCTTTCAAGTAAGATTCCTTCCTTCTTTTCATTTTGATAGGATTTTGTTCTTTTTTTTTTTGAGAGGATTCATGTCCCCAGAGATACATCTTTCTTTTAAGGTCTGAAGGAGTCGGATTCGTGTAGGAAAGCGTTTCTCGGTCCTTCGACGTCTTACTGTAACTATGTCGGCGAATACGGTAACACCTCATGTCCGTCACAGTCTACTGCTGGTTATCTCGTTATACTCGAGTATTTCGTGCTGCTTAAGGTTCGTGTTAAAAGTCTTGTAGATTCAATTGATAGGGTACAGAACAGCGAAGGCTCAGTGGGATAAGCGTGGCGAAACATTATAAGGCATTGTATCATGTCCTGTCTAGACTGATTTGGCGACGCATATCGCAGAAATTGCTGAACCGATCACAGCCTTGTTTGTGAGGGTGAGACATTGGCACAAACATAAACTGTCGAATATGTCTCTCCGCAACTGTGTTACGCGTTAAGAAGGCCTTGATTCTAAATTGACATGGCGTATCGAAAGAGCCCATTGGCCTCTTATTTGTGTTACTTTGTTGCCTACCCTCATTTCTATTTCTTATAGGCTTTATCGATTTTTCAAGGTGTGGAAAAGGGGGCGGTAGTAGAAGTGAGGAGGGTAGTTTTTTCGATTTGGCATGGCCAACAGATATTGGTTATCGCAATCAGTTATTTTATGTTATGTTATGGTGGACTAAGTAAATTATTGAATCTCCCCAAGCCGAAATGGATGATTTTGCTCACTTGAATAAAAATTTTACCCTGACCTGAATAAATTTGAAAAGGCAGGTCTACCCATATAAAAATGATCAGCTCGTAACCCGAGATTTCAAAGCTATTCTTAAAATCGTGGCCTGTTTTGCAGTTCTCAATAATTTTTCTTGGTTTTCAGCTGATTCTATGGCCCATCTTGTTCGCGTTCTTTGCGAAAACAGCCAAATCCGTTGACGACGAAGCAGACAAGATATGGAAATACCAAATGTATTCGCTGGTCACAGAGTTCAGGTAAAATTCTAGTAATAATCAGTTTTAGAAGTATCGGGAGTTCAATTTCGTTTTATGGTTTCAGGTTTGTTTTTGAAAATCAAGCACTTTTAGGTTAGGATATATCCACACGTCTGGGTTCGGGTAAAAAAGGATAGGGTAAGGAAATGTTGGAAAGAAACAGTCACTTCATGAAAAAGGTTGTCGGCCTATGTGCCACCCCCTTCCCTTCCTGTTTCCCTCCTGTGAAGCTAGCTTAGAAGCATGGGGATTGTGGGTATAGTCTCGTGGTTAAATTATTCCTCGCGTAGTCATTTCTCAGAGGGCGTGGTTAAAAACTCTCTCGTATGAGGTTCAATACTAATCCAAGACAGCAACAAATTTTCGCAACTGAATTTTTAAATTTTGTTTTACTTCGAACAACAGTTTTCGTTTTTTCCGTTGTTTTGATGGAGGGCCAACGAGAAGGTCTAGTAATTTGGGTTGAACGGGTCGTGGTTAATCATTTTCTGGCTCTCATCCTTCTGTTCCAGTCTACGTCCACCCCTTCCACCTCCATTAACGCCCTTATTCTTCTTCTGTATGGCCTGCTGCCGAGCTGGTGGACAACTGGGTGGAATGATGTCCTCCTATCCAGATCATCCAGACGTTGACCATCGAGATAGGTTAGTTTTGTTGGTAACGTATTTGGTGAAAGATCAAATTTGTCCCCAACTCTCAACTTACCATGATCATTCAGAGTTCGCTCAACGGTACGATTCGGCTCCGTCTACCGTAATCCGTCAGTGCCGGCGAAAAAGAATGAATTTGTGAATTCGTTCTGGCGTCAGTTGATGATCGATAGATGGAGGGAGGAGACGCAAGTGAAGACTGACAATATCGGTAATTCCGATACAAAGATCATCCAGGTAACCGGAATCATCGAATTTTCACTTTTCGAGCTGTTTCTATTTGAATTCGATCGAGGTATCTGGGGTAAGGTGTAAGGGACATATTCCATGTCCACAATATGTCTCGATTTTGAAAGCATCTAGTCAGCGACGAGCTCAAGCCCCGCCCATTCAGGGAGGGGCTTTCCTCTTCCAAAGACTTGTTGTCGATTTTTCTGCTTCAGTTATGACTTTCTCATTCAATTATTTTTGACTTAACAAGTTTTCAGAAACAATTACGTATGTTGGCCTTGAACAACGCCTACTTGGGAGGAGAACGAAAAAGTAAATCTGAGGTATGTTTTCTAGATGAATTCAGCTTGACCTGAACTGAGTCGGTGAGTATTTTACTTCTCCAGCTGTTAATCGAAGTGCCGCTCATGGGGAACAGCTGGAGAAGCAAAAAATCGAGGAGGTATCAATAGGGTAAATAGAGTCAACATCATTTCTTATTCGTCTGCATTCTTTCACAGAAACCGTGGTCGTTGGTACTTTTTGAAAGAAATCCCATTTGTGTACAAGATCACCGAAAATATACTAATACTACTTGATAATCAACAGTACTAACCAGTAACAATTCAGAATTGAATTGGTGGAAGAAATACCTCAATTAATTTTCTAATAACGTTGTCTCTTTGAGAGAGCGCAGACGAACAGAAAATGATAGTTGTCTCGCGTTGCGGGTGACGACGTTAACGTCAATCTGAAATATAACGTGACGCTTTTACTGGGCGGATACGGCTTTTATTCTCCTTGAATAATGAATTTTTAACAAATGTTCTACACATCTAGATGGAATTGGTTCCATACGCGGGCACGGAAATCAGACGGCTGTCCGTACCAGCACAGGAGAGGTCTTGGCAGGTACTTTAGAGATTTTGTGTCCATTCAGATCAAGCGATCAGTCGATTGGTTTAATCGTATATGGGTTTAGGTACTGCTTCCTCGTTATTCACCACCGTTCTATTGCCGCCCTGCAGAGGAGTTCCCCACAGATATCGCGAAGCATGTCGAGGTCGCTACTGAGCAGGTTAGTTCGATCTATTCTACTTGTATTGATGAGTGTACAGCTTATTGATCAGTAGTATTGATTGGTCCCGCGTATATTTCTGTCCAAAGGTAAACGTTCTGTAGAATGTGAGCGAACTTCGAAGGCTTTGGCGTTCTCGACAGGCAATGGATTCCGGAAAAGGTTGGATGCTGTCGGCAGCCGGCTACCCACTTAATCCACACGGCCGTCGAGGTGAGAATGATTTCATTTTATTTTTGGATTCAATTTCTTCACGCTTTCTTTTTGTTTATATTTTGCCTTTTCTTTCCAAATTTTCTAATAAATCGTCTTTTTTATTCTTTCATCTGTGTAGGTATTGCCGGACGTGGATGCCATCCACGATTTGGAGCCAACAAACGTTGCTACTACATTATTTTGACAGGGACAACAAGGGCCCATTGTAAAGTGAGTCTTGATCTGTGGTGCCGATATAATTACGATATTTTCAGACTGAGGTAATAGCCCTTTAACTTTCTATAGGTACTGCTCGATACGCAAAATAACCTTCCAAACGAGCCGCACCCTGAGAGCAGTTCGAAGGACGAGCATCTGGCGACATTGTTAAGAACCATAGGACTGCCTGAATCAGACGCGCAGGTATGGCCGTATCTGATAATTTTTGATTCATAATTGCCAACCAACAACTCATAGTTACCCAGTTATGGTAATCTGTCAGTAACTTGAGGACAGCATAGAGGTAGCTTGTGACCGTTCTATTCTAGTTGTGTGGCTATATATCTAGCTCTAAAAACAGGGATTTCAGGTGTTCTCCATGCGACGTCTCGATTCGTCCATTATCGACTCGTCCGAAACGGTCCCTCCAACTGACACAAGTCCAGCCCACATCGCCAGACTTGCCATTGAACATGATATCGACACGGATCACGCTTGGACTGAACACGATCTATGGGCAA